TTTAAATAAATTTACTAGTACAAATATAAAATATAAAATCAAGAAAATCAATAAAATGATTTTAGGGATATTTTTGTCTTTACATAGATAATCTCATGGTATTAAATCCTATGTATTACTAATACCACCAAATGGAAGGTATTAATAATACATCCTATAATACCATGTTGGGTGTATAGCTAATCCATGGATTAGTTATACTTAGGCCCAAAAATTCTACCAAACATAGTACTCCCTCCGTCCCATTTTATGTGAGGTAGTTTGACTCGGTACGGAGTTTAAGAAAGAAGAGAAGACTTTTAAAACTTGTGGTCCAAAATGAATGATAGAAATTTGTGTGGCTGTAAATCATTTCATTAAGGGTAAAATAGACATTTTATAGTTGAAAAGTTACTTAATATAGAAATGTATCATTCTTTTTGGGACTGACTAAAAAGGAAAGTAAGTCACATAAATTGGGACAAAGGGAGTACTAATTAATACCATACATAATATATGTACTATTTCTCCTAATACTTCCTACCAAACGACCCCTAAGTATTTAGTCTTAGTTCTGCTCAATATATAAGAACCCTTTAGACTCAAAGTCTATCTCACACCTCAAACTTATGTTAACTCTGTTATGAGTCTCGCCAATCAAAACTACGACATCCGCAAATAACATACACCATGACATCTCACTTTTAATTTGTCGCATCAATATACTAATTGCCAAGGCAAATAATTGGCTAAGGTTTGATTCTTGGAGTAACCTATCAATATGAAAAGTGCATTGAGTCTCCTCCTACTATTTTTATCCAAGTCTTGACTCCAACGTACATAGTCTTAATAATATATTATCATTATACAATTTTTTTTCAATTCATATTGTATGTAACAAAAAAGTATTTATTTTGTCGTAACTTAATATGGATATTATTTGATGTCGTCAATCAAATGATGCATTGAATAACAACACCAAATATAACAATGTAATCAATATAATTACATAAGTGAAGACCATGGAGAATAATTGTACAAAGATCTTACGTTTGTTATACAATTTTTTAATTCATAATATTGATTTTGTAAACAGTTAAGATTCGAGGCGGAAATGATGAACCGACTCCATTACAGTAGAGCTTTCTGGAGAGAGAAATAAGAAACAATTTTATTATCAGACTGAGAAGAAATAAAATGTTGTTACAAAATATCTGGCCCATGCCTATATATACAGTTGTGTGAGGCCCAACTACCTATTACTGAAAATACATCATAAATATCGGGTCAGGCCCAATACAAGTATGGAGAAATAATATCAGGATCCACTAACTCCAACACCCCCCCCCCGCCAAGTTGGAGGGGTGACAGAACACCCAACTTGTGAAGATGCACATGATGAGTAGCACTAGGTAGACATTTGGTGAACATGTCGGCCAATTGAGAAGCACTGACAGTATGAGACAGGCAGATCAACCCATCAGAAAGCTTGGAGCAGACGAAATGACAATTCAACTCGATGTGTTTGGTACGCTCGTGGAAAACAGGATTCTTGGCGATATGGATAGCAGCCTGGTTGTCACAAAATAGAGGAACATAGGTGAAACCAGGCAGCCCAAGGTCAGATAACAGACGAGTGACCCAAGTGATTTCAGCAACAGCTTTGCTCATAGCCCTGTATTCAGTCTCAGCAGAAGAAAGAGACACAACAGCCTGCTTTTTGGACTTCCAACCAATCAAGCTACCGCCCAAAACTACACAGAACCCAGTCACAGAGTGACGACTGTCAGCACAAGCCCTAAAATCACTATCGCAATAAACAACAAGGGAAAGGTCAGGATCAGAGGAGAAAAAGACACCAAACTCAGAAGTACCATTGAGGTAACGAATGAGATGCAAGGCAGCACGCATATGGGGAACGCATGGTCGCTGCATGAACTGACTGAGATGTTGAACGACAAAGCAGATGTCAGGCCGCGTATGAGTTAAAGAATTCAACTTTCCAATCAAACACCAATACTTCTCGGGGTGAGGAAAAGGGTCCCCATCATCAATGTGTAGCTTGGTATTTATGTCAAGAGGACAAACCACTGGTGAACAATTAAGACTGTGAAAGGAAGTCATGAGATCATGGACAAACTTTTTCTGATGTAGCAGAACCCCAGAGGTAGTGTACAAGACTTCAATCCCGAGAAAATAATTGATAGACCCCAAGTCTTTGATCCTGAACTCAGCATGGAGGAAAGATTTGAGACAGGAGAGCTCAACTAGATCAGACCCAGTAAGGATGATATCATCCACATAAATGGCAAGCAGGGCCAAAGAATCACCAGAACCCTTATGAAAAAGGGAATAATCATTGAGGGAATGGGTATAACCTCTAGAACATAACGCCTGAGACAATTTGGCATACCATTGCCTAAAAGCCTGCCGTAAACCATAAATTGACTTCTATAACTTGCAAGCTAAAGGAACAGAAGATGAGGAAGAAACAGTCAAACCAGGAGGAATGCGCATAAAGACTTCATCATCAAGATCCCCATGTAGGAAGGCATTATTGACATCAAGTTGAAACATAGGCCACTGTTTCTTGACAGCCACAGCAACCAAGGTCTTGACAGTGGACATCTTGACAACAGGGGAAAATGTCTCATGAAAGTCAATGCCCTCAACTTGAATGTCACCCCGGACTACCAAGCGAGCCTTGTATCTTTCCACACTTCCATCAGCTTTATACTTGATCTTATAAATCCATTTGTACCCTATAGGTTTCTTGCCATGAGGTAAGGGAACAATATCCCAAGTACCATTAGCAGCCAATGTATCAAATTCTAACTGCATGGCATGCTGCCACTCAGGCACAAGAGCAGCCTGAGAATAAGAATTAGGTTCAACAACAGGATGCTCTCCAGAATTAAGGGAACTAAAAACGTGCGCAGACGTATGAAAGAGATAAGGAGAAAGGGAATAGTCACTGAGATATTTGGGCAAAAAATGAGGTCGAAAAGATTTTCTCGAAGGAGGCAGTAGGGGATCATGATGATCAGAAAGTAAATCACTAGTAAAGGAGAAATAGGGTGAAGGACAAGGGGAAGACAAGGGAGAAGAAGGAAAGGAAGAAACAATAGGGTTAGCAGGTGGAGGATGATCAACAATAGTAAGGTCATCAAAATAAGAGGAGGAAGGAAAAGGGGATGGAGAAGAAGGAACAGTGCTGGAAGTAGAAAAGGGGAAGATACGTTCATGGAATACAACATCCCTAGAAACAAAAGAAGTTTTGGAAGAGAGATTATATAGTCTATACCCTTTCTTTCCAAATGGATATCCTAAGAAAATGCAAGGGGAAGCTCTAGGTTGAAACTTGTCTCGATTAGACTTAGAGATAGTTGAGTAACAGAAGCACCCAAAAGCGCGAAGATGAGAGTAGGTGGGGGGTTTAGAGTAGAGGAGCTCATATAGGCTTTTCTTATGTAATAAAGAAGAAGGGAATCTGTTAATAAGGTACGTAGCAGTGAGCATACAATCCCCCAAAAGTGAATGGGAAGAGAAGACTGGAAAAGAAAAGCCCTGGCAGTTTCAAGCAAATGTCGATGTTTTCTCTCCACAACTCCATTTTGTTGTGGAGTGTGAGGGCATGTGGTTTGATAAATAATACCCTTGTGGGAAAAAAATCAATACCAGCATAGCTGGAACCCAACTCAAAAGCATTATCACTCCTGATAGTGAGGACCTTGGAGCTAAATTGGGTTTCAACCATGTTGATAAAAGCTTTCAAAAGATCAAAAACACTGCTCTTAGCACCCATTAAATGTGTCCAGGTGGCTCTAGAAAAGTTATCGACAATCGTCAAAAAATATCTAGAGCCATTATGAGTAGGAGAATGATAGGGTCCCCAAGTATCCAAGTGGATCAACTGGAAAGGGGAAGTGGATTGAATAGAGTTGTCAGGGAAAATAAGCCTAGTTTGTCTAGCTAAGGGACAAACAGGGCAAGGAAATGATTGTTTAGGAGATAAAATATGTTGAAGTGCTGAAATATCTTTCATACGAGAAAAAAAAATGACCAAGTCTATAATGCCAAACAATATCCATTTTATTGACTTTATTCAACTTGTCAGAAACAACATCAGTTACATTGGCAGAAGTGCCAAGAGAAACAGATACATCAGAATCAACAGTAGAACTACAGGGAATAGAGGAACAAACAACAGAAGAAGTACAAGCATTTGAAAATTGACAAGTTTCGGTGAGAGAAGTATGCTTAGAAGAAGTTGTGGGAGGAAGCAACAGCTTGTAGAGGCCATTATCTACCTTACCAAGAACCAGAGGCATCTTCTAAGAAGGGGCCTGTAAAACACACAAAGTTTTGGTAAAGTAAACAACTCCATCTAACTGATTAACAAGCTTGTGAACAGAGATAAGATTATACTGAAAGGAAGGGATGTAAAGCACATTATGCAAAGTAATGTGAGGAAACAGAGTCAAGGAACCTGTATTGGTGACCTTAACTTTATAACCATTAGGAAGGGAAACAAGTACAGGGATAGGTAATGTTTGAAGGTTGAAAAGTAAGTCCTTGTGGGAAGTTATATGATCGGAAGCTCCGGAGTTTATGATCCAGAGGAAACTATCTACCTGAGAGAGCATGCATGATTTGTACATAACACTTTCAGATATCAGCTTACCAGCAAAATTGGTAGACGCCATAAGACATGAAGGACTGGATGTAGTAGGAGAAATGTGAGTCTGTTTCAGCAGCAACAACAATTGAGAATGTTGATCAGAGGTTAACCCATAAAGACCACCATCAGTAGCTTCTGAAGACAAATGGGAGGCCGAAAGAGGCTCAACTTCAACATGAGCTGCAGTCTTTCGGGATCCTAGATTTTTTGTGAACTTAAAACCAGGTGGAAAACCATGTAACTTGTAACACTTGTCAATTATATGCCCTGGTTTCTTGCAATATTTGCAGAGAATAGAGGACATAGTAGATTCAAAATTTACCCGGGAGGAAAATGACGGTTATTTCGTAACTCCAACATTGAAGGACGTAGAGCTGGAAGGAAAGTGAGAAGGAGCAGACACTATTCTCTGTTTTTCATTATTAAGAAGCAACCCATATGCAACTCCAACCGAAGGAGTGGGTTTCAACAGAAGGATGTGACTCCTAACCTGAACATAAGTGTCATTCAGCCCCATGAGGAACTGATAGAGCTTCTGCTCATCTTCATCTTCCTGATAAAGTCCTTTGGCACCACAATTACAAATCATAGCTCGTCTGACAGAAATGGAGGCAATCTCATCCCAGAGTTGCTTAATTTTGTTGAAATATGATGGAATGTCAAGAGATCCTTGAGAAATATGAGCTAGTTCCTTTCGCAACTCAAAAATTCTAGCACCATCAGCTTTACCATATCGTTCCTGAAGTTCACTCCAGACGTCATTAGCAAGTTCAGAATACTCAACACTACGCCCAATCTCTTTAGATTAAGAATGAAGAAGCCATGAATGGACAAAATCATTGCACCTCTGCCATTGTCTAGCTAATGGTGAGTCAGAGGAGGGGCGCAAGGAGGTTCCATCGATAAACTCGAGTTTGTTGCGGACGGATAGGGTGACAAGGATAGTGCGTCTCCAACTAGCATAACAAGTTCCATCAAAGGGGACAGACACTAAAGAACCTCCTAAGATATCAGAAGGATGGACATAAAGAGGATGATAATGATGTGTATAATCATCTTTGTGAAACTCAGTTCTGGATGGCAAAGAAGAAACACTACCAGTAGACGAAGAAATCGTTGATGTCGCAGTTCCAGTCATCGAAAGATAATCACGAACACCAAAAAAATGATATGAATAACCAAACGAAGGAGAGTAGAACGTGAATCCCAGACTCTTTCACTACCAGAAAGAGAACAACCTTTGCACAGAGAGATTCCAAACACGAACTAGTTGGAACCCTAGAAAATCCTTGATTCGATTCTGAGACTTGTAAAATCCAAACGAAAAACGACGAGGGTAGAATCGATCGAGAGTAGGAAGCTAGAACTAGAAGGATCTATGCTCTGATACCATGTAAACAATTAAGATTCGAGGCGGAAATAATGAACCGACTCCATTACAATGGAGCTTTCTGGAGAGAGAAATAAGAAACAATTTTATTATCAGACTGAGAAGAAATGAAATGTTGTTACAAAATATCTGGCCCATGCCTATATATACAGTTGTGTGAGGCCCAACTACCTATTATTGAAAATACATCATAAATATCGGGTCAGGCCCAATACAAGTATGGAGAAATAATATCAGGATCCACTAACTCCAACAGATTTAGACATAATTTAATGTGGATATTATTTGATGTAGTTAATCAAGCGATGCATTGAACAATAACAACAATTAAACACAATCAATGTAATTTCATAATGAAGACTAAAAAGGGTAAATTGTATGCATATTTTGTATTTATCTTTGTAAAGTACAAAATATATATTTCAGATAGATCCTCAGCTCAAAAGACAAATACTATATTAAATAATGTAGTGAATAATTACGTACATATAACTTACTTTTGAGTTTTAGCATTACATCTAAAGTGATTTATATTGAAAAATGGACGAGAAGACCAGACTAACACTTATTGTTGTAGATGATTTTGCTATTGCGAATCTCTGAACTTTAAGTGTGATAAATTTTTAATTGGTCTAAAATTAATACTCTGACTAAAATTATTTGTGTAAAAGGTTCAATGGTTTATACAAGCTTTAATGAAATATCAATGTATCGTACTACAATCTTGTACTTGTGGATATATTGTTGCACTAAAAATTTATCTTATAGAGTCTTCACTCCCTTGTTGTTTGACAATGAAAATAAATCATATATTATTCAACTCTCAAAGAAATGCTTATATAAGATTTAAAAATTGCTTATGATGTATATTTTTACGGTAATATGTGTGGGTTCCTCACAAAAGAGAATAGCTAGTCACTTAAATAATGTGTCTTGATAAAGTAGATTCAAATAACACTCAATAAAATATTTTTTTAGAATGTAACTTGAACAAGTTTAAAGAAAGTATATTATTGTGTTTTTTTTTAATTAAATTTTTCTTCAACACTTCTTTTTCTTTCACCTATTATTTATACACTAAAAAATAAAATAAAATTTAAAACGTTTGAATAGTCTTCTAAAAAAACTTGATGCGAATATCCACCTCAAGAAGTAACGAATTCGCAAATACTATGGGTGTGTTTGGTAGGAAGGAAAACATTTTCCAATTTTCTCATGTTTGGTTGGGTTAAATGTTTTGGAAAATGTTTTCCAAATCAACTCATTTTCCTCAAATTTAAGGAAAATGACTTCCCTTCAAAACTTAAGGAAAACATTTTCCAAAACTCTATTCCAACTTCAAACTACAATTACTTTTTTGTTGAAAAAATCAATTTATTTTGTCCCTACCCTCAAATCAGCCCCCCAATCAACCCCCCCAAAAAAAATAATTTAAAACTTGTTTTTAAATTCAATTTTTTTACCCACCCTCACCCTCACCCCCTCCCAAATTACAATTACTTTTTGTTGAAAAAATCAATTTATTTTGTCCCTACCCTCAAATCAGCCCCCCAATCAACCCCCCCAAAAAAAATAATTTAAAACTTGTTTTTAAATTCAATTTTTTTACCCACCCTCACCCTCACCCCCTCCCAAATTACAATTACTTTTTGTTGAAAAAATCAATTTATTTTGTCTCTACTCTCAAACCAGCCTCCCCCAAAAAATAATAATTTAAAACTTGTTTTTAAATTCAATTTTTTTACCCACCCTCACCCTCACCCCTACCCCTACCCCCACCCCCTCCCAAAAAAATATTAAAAATTATTTTTAAAAGATATTTCTAATTT